ATGTTAATTTCTCTACCATAAGCTGCCTCCGAAGTCATTTTAGAGAATTTGACAGTATGTCCAACAGGCCTCATAACCGCAGACCACATGTAACCACGCCAGCCCAGGACCTCCACATCCGGCTTCTTCACCTGCAGGATCGTCTGAGACCAGCCACCCGGACAGCTGATGAAACTGTGGGTTTGCACAACCAAATCATTTCTGCACAAACTGTCAGAAACCATCACAGGGAAGCTCATTTGCATGCTTGTAGTCCTCACAAGGGTCTTGACCTGACTGTAGTTCGGCGTCGTAACTGACTTTAGTGGGCAAATGCACACCTTCGATGGCCACTGGCACGCTGGAGAAGTGTGCTCTTCACGGATGAATCTCAGTTTCAACTGTACCGGGCAGATGGCAGACAGCGAGCGTCGTGTCGGCGAGCGGTTTGCTGATGTCAACGTTGTGAACAGAGTGGCTGCATACTCACCAGACATGTCACCCATTGAGCATGTTTGGGATGATCTGGGCCGACGTGTACGACAGCGTGTTCCAGTTCCCGCCAATATCCAGCAACTTCGCACAGCCATTGAAGAGGAGTGGGACAACATTCCACAGGCCACAATCAACTCTATGCGAAGGAGATGTGACGCACTGCATGAGGCAAATGGTGGTCACACCAGATACTGACTGCTTTTCTGATCCACACCCGTACCTTTCTTTTGCATATCTGCATGTCTGTATTCCCAGTCATGTGAAATCCATAGATTAGGCCCTAATTAATTTATTTCAATTTACTGATTTCCTTATATGAACTGTAACTCAGTAAAATCTTTGAAATTGTTGCATGTTGCATTTATATTTTTGTTCAGTGTCGCTGACTCCTATTAGTAAAATATATTATTCGTATATGATTCTTTTTTTGATTAATCAAAAAGATAATTGACTGTAATGTCCTTCATAAGCCCTGTTTCTCAGCCTTGTATCTTAGCACCATCTAGTGTGGTACAACATTACTGTCCAATCCATTTTAATATTGGAGTTAAAGCTTTGATCTCCAGCTTCAGAACAATAGAATAGCCACTTTATTAGCTTCAGTCATTTTCATCCAAATGTTTAAAAAAACATTTGAGTTCATAAGAAGTACAAATATCCCTGAGGTTCAGGCTCTGTCATTCCAACAGATGAAACACACCACAATTCCAAAATAACAGAAATAGAACATAAATTAAATCAAAGAGAAATGTATTCCAAAGGGAAGGAGTGGTTGTTGCACTTAACCATCGGTACTTTTCAAGATCCTGTACCATAACGGATATACTTTAGATGTCCTTTGTGATTGGTTATTGTTCCTCATCCCTCGATCGCCACGATTTAAAACTTAAAAATGTACTTCCTGCATAGCAGAGCGTGACCAGGAAGGCAAAGAACTGAAAAACAGACAGATGAAAACATTGAAATTCAGTACAATAGTAGGTGTGAGTAGAGTAGACTTGAATGGACCAAATAGATATTTATAGATAGATATTTTAAATATCGCTTTAATCATAAATACTCAGTCATATTTGTGGTATATTTTCACAGTTGGCGTGATTTAAATGTATGTCTGGGTGGTCTGAGGTGGTTTTCTTACCGTGGATGCTACCCAGCAGTTGTAGTTATGGCGCCCTTTAACAGCATGGCTGATTGAGGCTGCATCCACTGCTGCTGCCACCACATACATCACTGTAGCACTACTGTTGAAGAACAGGCCCTGTAGAACACCACATACATCACTGTAGCACTACTGTTGAAGAACAGGCCCTGTAGAACACCACATACATCACTGTAGCACTACTGTTGAAGAACAGGCCCCGTAGAACACCACATACATCACTGTAGCCTACTGTTGAAGAACAGGCCCTGTAGAAACACCACATACATCACTGTACACTACTGTTTAAGAACAGGTCCTGTAGAACACCCCAAAAATATCACTATAGGGCACCTCTGTTTTTAAGAACGGCCCTTTTGAAAAAACCCACATACACACCCTT